GTCACGAAAATGACTAAATCTGGCCTGGATTCAGAGTAGGAAACATGGAAACACACTTCCCTGTTTTCCATGACTGTGAAACCTATTGGGACACAAGATATCAGTGACTGAAAATACCCTAACTCACTACCTCTCTAGAACCGGGCTGGTATTGGGCTCTTCCTGGCACCCCTGATGCCTCCCAGACAGCCATGCCATCCATGGACCTAACAGATGTCCATGGTTCTGATGTTGAACTTTCTGAATGCACACGAGGGCCGAAGAGGAGCAGTCTTCTCCTTCCGCTTGTCATCCCTAAATGTCACTACTCTTTGGAGCTGGCCCTTTCCCAGCCTGCTTCTGTTCTGCCCTGAAAACCTGGCACTTGTAAACTTGACAAGTGACCTTTTAGAATCACCCCACACATCTGCCAGCATCCCCAGAATTTGTCCCAGCATCGTCACTTTTGACAGCACCCTGATCTAATGAGGCGGGGTGTCTGGCAATGGCCAGGGGTTCCCTCTGCTTCAAGGACTTCTCCATACCATGCAAGAACACTCTGGATCATGGCGAAGTTATTTCTCCCCAAACCGAATATATTTAAAGCCGTGGTTCATGTTTAAGATTTGGCAAATCTCCCAGAACTATGGTCCTTTAAAGCTTTAGGCAGTCTAGGCTGTGACCCCAGCAATAGCATAAATGGGTTTTGAGGTCAGAGAACAAACATCTACAAATTAGATCTTTAATAGAAACTGCTAAACTAGAAGATCATAAAATTTAAGATATTTTCCTCTGTCAAGGCACTAACAATCAGAAGTTTAGATCCATACACACCAGTTTTGTGCCAAAGGTACGTGCCCTATGTTTAAAAATGACCAGAAACTGTAAAATGTTATAAATATAGAATATTAACAATAATAACGTGAAGCATTGGACAGAGCATTATAAAACGGCCTTATATGATCTCTCTAGATTACATTCGATATTATGATTAGTGCCACTAATAATATTTCCCCAACACTCACAATCTGAGAGCATTTTCTGAGCCCCATCTCCAAACATTTGGCGCTGCCTGACTCGGCAGCTGACTTGAATTCCTTGTTCACTGTCTGGTGATTCATTGCACTAAATACCACTTTCCTGATAATTAAAAACTGCTCACTGGCAAGTGGGAGCAGGAACAGGCTGATGCAGGATTTATGCAGAAACGCAAAATGAGCCGAAAGACAAATGACCTGTTCTGCCCAGCTCAAGGCGTTCTTTTCTCTCATCATCATCTGGGACTTGAGAAAGGCTGGCTGTAACACAGGAGAGAGGCCTGGAGAGAAGTGTCACCCAGAGGAGACGAGGTGATGCAGGGGGAGCCATTAAGTGAGGTGCTCAGCCGCATCCCTCTTCTGATTTAGGACAGCCCATCGCCGCCCCAGCCAGAGGTTGTAGGCCAGGACCACTTCCTAGGTCAGCCCTATCAGACCCTATCAGAAGAAAAGCACTGAGTTTGAGCCTTTGTTAGACTTTGGATGTCAGTTTCCTTTCCTCAATGTAGCAGTAGGATCCTCAATTTCAGGTAAACAAGGACTGATCCCTACTGTTGCCTTGAGGCCAGGCATTCTAATTAACACCACCTCACCACTCCTAGGCTCCTTGCAACCTCTCTGCTTCTTGTGAAACAATCAAAACCCCTGGCCCCAGAATAGCAGCTGTGCAGGTACACACACACACACATTCACACACACACACACACACACTCCATAATTCTACAAGCCAGCAAGGTAGCGAACCTCTCTGCGAGTAAACTGCACCGGTCATTACAGTGTGAACTTTCTCCCATTTGTGTGCACTTAGTTGCCTATTACTGGCCTAAAAGAATCCTGGCACCATCAAGAAGACATGAGCCATTCCCTTCTGGGAATAGCTCCTTCCCAGAACTCATTGGGGCCAGTATCTGTAAAGCTCATTAACTGAGACTCCTTTCTCATTCATCCTTATATATGTCTTTACTTGCAAACCATTCATTACAGCACATTCTAGATTGTTTAATTAAGTTCCATGGAAGAGATCCTGTAGGACAGCTTAACATACATCGTTTCAAAGCCCTTGATCTAAAATAACAATGTAGTCATTTCTAACGCAGCTAATATAACCCTAAGTGGCTTATGTCCCTCACTGCCCACCCTACTTCGCTTTCCCTTCCTCCTCCCCAGACACTTTCTAGAACAATTTACTGGTAATCATCTCAGTATATCAGTTTGTGAGCCCACTCTGTACATCAGGCACTGTGCTAGGCATGTCACTTGCACTGTGGTTATCATCATCACCACCCCAGAGGGAGGTGTTATTCCCTCCATTGGCAGAGGAGAAAATTGTTAGAAGAGATGGATATGGACTAGTTGCGTTATACTGGGTTAGTAAGAGTCTTTCGGGTTCTGACCTCAGCTCTGGGCCTCAGCATCTGGGCTCTCAACCTCCTCTCAGCACAGAATTTGGGGGAAATCACAGGTTGTTGACACTGGCTGTGGTCCCTTTTGCATTTTGCGTGGGTCTGTTGTATCCTCCTCTCATGCCCTCACCCCTCCAATGCACACAGGCTGACTTGCACCTATAGCATCTGTTTCTGTTGTGTGTTTTTAATTCATTGAGGTAACATTCATTAATAACACTTAGAAATTTCAGGTGTATAACAATTCACTATCTGTATACTCTACTGGGTGTTCACCACCCAAAATCTAGTTTCCTTCTGTTACCATATATTTGACCCCCTTCACCCAATTGACCTAAATGCTCTCTCTGGCCATGGAGCCTCCCCACCCACCTGCACAGCAGGCCAAGCAGCTCCAGCCAATGACTGATGGGAATCGTGTGGTAATAACACAGCTCCCTCCTCTACGGGGTGGCCCAGCTCTGAAGCATATGGTGATTTATTTCCGGGGTTTCCAGAGCTTCCCCAGGGGTCCCCAGAGGTTCCCAGGGGCTGAAGCCTGCTTCAGTTCCCCACAGTGGTAGTGGCTTGAGAGCACACTCCAGAGACTGCCGTCCTTTCCTTCTCACTTCCCCACTCACTCACAGGGACTTCTTAGGATCAGGGCCCAGATAAGCCACTTGCCTTCAAAATCTTTTCTCAAGTGTTGCTTCTGGAGCTGCTTGTCTGGCTTTGTTAGACACTTTCAACCTGTCCTCGATCCTCCTTCCTCTTCACTTGTTCTCCCTACCAAATGAGAAAGAGATGAACCACCACCCTTTTTCCCCTTCTCTACTGTTATTAAAGTAGAATTTCTCCCTCTCCCTCTCCCTCTCCCTCTCCCTCTCCCTCTCCCTCTCCCTCTCCCTCTCCCTCTCCCTCTCCCTTTCCCTTTCCCTCTCCCTTTCCCCATATCTCTCCCTCTCCCCATCTCTCTCCCTCTCCCCATCTCTCTCCCTCTCCCCATTTCTCTCCTGTCTCCCAGGGATTAGAACATTCTAGTATAAAGGTGATCTATTTGCTGTGTCCAAATTTCAGTCAACAGATTCCAAAGTCCATGTTGTCATCCTGGGTTTCCAAGGAGCATGCTAGGATGGTGTTGATTGTCCTAAAGCAGGCCTTCCCGCGTGCTACCAGTGATTTTATTTAATGACTGGGAATAACCCATCTTTCAGAAAAAGCAGTTCCTCTGAGCAGGGCACCTGGATCTCTCTGGCTTTAAAGAAATATCCCTTTCAATACTTTCCTCTATTTTCCTTCTCCCTCTGGATTATACTCTGGCATTTTGATCCTTGAATGAATCGGTGACCAAGCCAAACTAATTTGAGGAAGCTGTAGAGCAATCTTCAGAAGATTTTTGGATGAAAATGTCAAAACTAAACCATGTGTGAAGGGCTTGGAGTCATTCGAGGATAAGCTAGAGTGGGGGATGCAGCCCTGAGGGGCAGAGCTCAGGGAACCTGAGGTCCAGCCTGTGCCTTGGGCCCCAGTTGAGGGCATAGAGCACTGTGCGTTTCCAGATCTGCCTGGCCTGCTAACCGGACCCTTACATGACCTTGACAGCATCAGTGAGCAGGGAAAATGCCTCCTCTTCACCAGGACGGGATGCTAGACTGTGTTGGTTAGCTTTCAAAGCTTACCCTCCTACTACATACCACCACCATGAAAACAATCTCCATACTTTGCCTAATGACACAGCTAACATGCTGAAGAATTACATTGTGAATGAATCCATTTGTTTCTTGGGTTCCATTTCCTGTTTTTGTCCCCTCTCTTCCACTTTTTTAATCCATTTTTTCTGCAGTGACAATTCTCTATTTATCTTGCCACTGTAAACATCAGTGACAAAGTCTATATTTCTTTATATGTTTCTCATTCACCATTTTATTCGTTTTTCATACTTCAGTGTGTCTGAAAGCAGGGGGGGTTCAATTACAATTTTTCTTTCATTCCACCTCATTTTTTTATGTAGACACTGCTCTTTTCTCTATCAGTATTTCCTGTGCTTCCCTTTTCGGATTTTCTCTTCTAGTAGACTGTCTTGGTATTTATATCTTGAGGTTTTTCCAATAGCAAATTCTTCTTTTTTTAAATCCATCCTCATCCCTCTTCCAGCCCTGGACATAGCCGTCAGTAATAACCTTAACGGCGGCCTCCACTCAGGAAAGTTGTCAAGTTGATAAATATTGATATCTGCCCTACCATTTTACCACCACTTTTCCGCTAATGCGTTGGGTTGGCATCAATCAGCTTCCTTGCCTTCTGTGAGCGCCCGGTAAGGGAACTGGTCCTGATCTGTCACTTATAAATAATCTGTCCCACTTTTCATCAAGAGCTCAAATTCAGAAGAGAATATGGAGGAGAAGGAGAAGTAGAGGACAGAGAAACAGGCTAGCGTGGCCCGGAGGGAAGGGAGATGGTGAGGCCCAGCAAGGCAAGGAGAGGCAGCCTGGTGTGCAGGAGAGACCCCCCAGCCACACCCTCACTGCTGGGGACAGCAGCCTGTGCTTAATGACCACCGTTCCTCTTCGGGATGTTAACCCTGCTTATCTCCTCCAACAAGGCTCCCCAGGGATGAAGATCTACATTGACCCCTTCACTTATGAGGACCCCAACGAAGCTGTCCGGGAGTTTGCCAAGGAGATTGATGTATCTTTTGTGAAAATTGAAGAGGTCATCGGAGCAGGTATGGCTCTCCCTTCCCCTCGTTTCTGTTCTCTTGGTGTCCAAAATCTTCTGCCCACCACTCTAGGTGTTCTCTACCATCTTTCTCCCTAGGAGATGAGTTTGGCCATCTGCAGTGTGTTTCTAGGGACCTTTGGGGGACCTTGATCATGGTGGCCATGTTTGGTGTTGCAGAGAAGTCAGCTGTAGTTTTAAAAGATTCAGAAATAGCTCTGGAAATGGACCACCAAATTCAGATAAGGAAAAAGATGTAGAGCGCTCAATTGAGAAGACTTTGAAAAAAAATAGAAATTTTTAGAAAGCTGGACCTAGTATCCCACTCACTGACAATGACATCTCCATGCCTTTGGGCCAAGATTTCTTCCCATGCATTTAGTTTTCCTTTCCTACATGCATGCATTTAGAAACAGACCATGATGGATTAAAGAGGAAGCCCTGGATCCAGAAGAAAACTCACCCATAACTATATTTTCTACAGAACATCTATGATATGAATGGTAACACATGACAAGTTTCACTCCCAAGAAACATGTGTGCGCTCATCCATCTTACTGCTGGGAATAAAAACCCAGCCTTACAGAGAACTAACTGCCTGAGATGCTCTCAGGAAATCTACCTAAAGACTGATCCAGAATTTTCATCTTCCTTTAATGGATTGGTAGTTAAGTCAGTTTGATAGTGAACCCAGCCTTATTAATGTAAATGAGCAAAATATCCCAAAGTATCATTACTTTATAAGTAAAATCTTTATTGTCTCCTCTGCTGCTGCTTTTGAGTATTCTTAAAGATGTGTTTGCTTCGTGTCTTCTTTCCTACTTTTATTTTCTTCTACAACATTCTTTGTCTTTTCTTCTTTAATTTGTATTAGCCATTGTTTAAGCTCTCACCACACTTATATGCTTCAGTCTTTTTAGCTCCTATGTCTTTATTCATATATTTGAAGAGCCATGGAGTTGCCTCTTCCCATAATATTTTATATTTTAACTCCATGAAATATGTCTAGTCAAAGTCGTACAGACAGCCACTTCATATATTATCTTTAGGGGAAAGTCACTGTTCTTCCATTCACTGCCTCCCTTAATGCACTGAGGGGTCAAAAAGCCATCTGTGAAATTGGAAGTCGCATTTGAAAGCTTGCCCCATTAGGCCGCCATTTTCATGCTCTGGTTTTCCTCTTAAAGAGCTCTAACCTCATGGCATCACTGTGGTGGGCGCTGGCACTCTCACAGAGAGGGCATGCCACTCTCTTCCCACCAGCCCCTCAAGAGTTCCAGCCGGCTGGCTATGATCTGATCCACATGAGTCTATACATATTTCCCGTTGACTTTCATTAAATATGTTACTGAACCACGACTTTCACTTCTGTGCAGATAATTTTCTCTTCCTCCTTAGACACTGACATACTTAAGGATCCTGCCTTGGAAGGCTGGATACCAGATAAAGTGGAGTACTCTGAGGGACTCAGATTTCTCCAGTAAACTTGAAGGAGTGTTGGCGAGGTGGATGTTCAGTCCTGCACCCTGTTTCCCCTACATTATTAATTGTGGTTGTGTCATGTGGTAATGGTGCTAGTGATTTTAATGTTGTTATTTATGTCATGTGCTTAGAACAATGTGTCCTGGGCTGCATTTCATCCCAGAAAGCACACATCAGCCCCATTCCGCCTTTGTCAGGGGAGGAGTAAAAAGCCTTCTCACTTATGATCCTGCCAGGGAATTATAATGTTGGGTGAGCTCACCAACTACTGGAAGCCTGTAAAGGGGCAATTGATGGCCTGTTTTATCCGTCACCTTCAATTTTTGTGTAGCCTTCGATGACGTTTGTGTATTCTGCACAGAGAAGCTCAGGCTTCACGTGATACTGGGGAAGGATTGATACATTTAGCAGTTTATAAGATTTCCAGTAGCTTGGGACAAAGACCTCTGCCTGGTTGCTGTTGACCACCTTCAGCCAGACACCCTTCAGCCAGACACCCTTCTCTTTGAGATAGTAATCCACTCTGCATGATTGGTGCCATTTTAACAGTGGACACTCTAGGTTGGAACCAATCTTTCTCCATTCTCCAGTTCTTTTTCTCCATTGCCCCCACTCTGGCTTCTCTCACACCCTGTCTCACTGAGATTGACTTCACTTTGTGCTAAAAGAGCTGGTATGAAGGTCAGGTAAAAAAAAATTGTAAGGCAAGATTTATACAGTGTAATTGGTAATATTTCTCTTAACCCCCTGCCAGATTTTGGAGCAGGGGGCAAAAACTGGGTTGCAATGTGGTAACAAAACATGAAAAGAAGAATCATAAGTCATTTGTCCTTCCTTCACTTGTTTCTTCTTCAGGCTCTGTCTGAATACGTCTTGCATGCTGGATGTGGAATTCCAGAGGTGAACAAACTGCTCTCCCCCTCATAGGTCTGACAGTCTTAGTGGCAAACAGACCAATAATAACGTGCTCAGTATTTTATGTTATTTCCAACACAGGTGTGTACAAAGTGTTGGGCCAACCTAGCAATGTTCAGCCTTATTCAAGGAGTGGGTTTGGGGATCAGGAAGATTTCACAAAGAAAATAATCTTTGGCCTGAGCTTTCACACAAGTAGCAAAAGTAAGTTTTTGTGAAACTCATGAGATAATGAGACAGAAGAGGAAAAGTTAAGATATCAAGAAGAAAATGCACATGATTTTCCAGCAGTGCTGTGCTGGTGTGAGCTTCATTACCTCGCAAGAGCCAATTTTGTGCTGTCTTCTTTGAGAGATAGATGTCTGCTTGAGGGTGGTCAGCAGCGACCAGGCAGAGGTCTTTGTCCCAGGCTGCTGGGAATCTTACAAATCTTTCCAGCCCCATGTTCAGTGATATCATGTTGGTCGCGTAACATCAGCCATGGTAGGAGTATTTACACCATGGGAATTGGCAAATACTACAAATCAGGGGTATTTGTTTCTTTGTTTTATGGAGAGCTGATAGCTTAACACTTATTAGCACACTCCCAGACTGTGCAAGGTTATTTCAAAGAATTTGCAAAGGAACCAGCCTGTGCCTGTTGAATTGGAGCCAGAGGAAAGGGTCATGTTTGTTGCAGGAGAGATTAAGTTGGGAGTGCAAGATCCTTATTCATTAAACATTGACTCTGTGCCTGCAACTGTAGTGGATCCCAGAAAATACACTGAATGCCTAGCAATGCTGTCCTGCAGGGGTTATTGTCTAACATAGACACATAAGAGGATAGCTGATTGAGAGCTAAGATGAGGGGCTCAGAGAAACATAGGTGGAGGTGGAAGGAGAGGCTTGGTGGCAGGGAAGGAGCCAGGGAAGAGGGACCTGGGAGGCTTTGGATGGGCTGAAACTCTGTGTAGCGCATCCTGAAAACAAGGAGGGAAGAAGGATTTGCTGAGGATAAATATTGAGCATTGAGGCTAGAGAATCAGGCTGAGGCCTAGAGACTCAGAGACTGAGGTATGGATTTTATTCTGTAGAAAATGGTGAACTCCTAGAGCTGTGGTTCTCAACCTTCCTAATGCCACGACCCTTTAATACAGTTCCTCATGTTGTGGTGACCCCCAACCATAAAATTATTTTCGTTGCTACTTCATAACTGTAATTTTGCTACTGTTATGAATCATAATGTAAATATCTGATATGCAGGATGTATTTTCATTGTTACAAATTGAACATAATTAAAGCATAGTGATCAATCACAAAAACAATATGTAATTATATATGTGTTTTCCAATGGTCTTAGGCAACCCCTGTGAAAGAGTCGTTCGACCCCCAAAGGGGTCGTGACCCACAGGTTGAGAACTGCTGTCCTAGAGGTTTCTGAGCAGGGTGAGTGACAGGACTAAGGTGGGGAGATGAAATTGATTTATGCTGTGTTTGGAGTGGACTAGCAAGGGGTGATGGGAAAGGGTCAGTACAACCTTGGAGGCATGGAGACCAGTTATGGGGCTTTGCCTGGAGAGGGTTTAAGATAGCAAATGCTGGGATCCATGGTGGTAAGGAAGGCTGCACAAAAATAACTAAACTGGTCTAAACCAGAATGTATCCAATCATGTTGAATGGAGTGACTCTTGGGTTTGGTGACTGGAGTTGATGGGGGAAACGTGGCATGAAGAAATGCCATGGCCAGAAATAAGGGGCATCAGATTAAACATCTTGAAAGGAGAGGAAGGCTGCCTGGCCCCCAGGGTATGGGAAGTGGTAGTTGTGCAAGCAAGTGAAGGCCAATAGAGTAAAATCTAGAAATTATGAGGTTAAAGAACTATATCAACTGCCAAAGAGTCTTCTAAAGTGTGGGAGGTATTAAATACAGGAATAAAATAGTAATTATGAGCCAGGTGTGATACCATTCAAGAAAACTGAATTATAACGACTCATTGTCGTTATGTAATTATTTGTTCAATACCCATCTTTCATCACCGGGCTCAACGTTCTGTGGGGACAAGGAGACATGAGTGGTTTCGTTAGTCTCATGCCTAGCCTAGTGTGCTCAGTTAAGTCTTTGTTGTATATGGTTGAATGAAAGTAGACCCTCAGGGAAAAATCATTACAGGGATAAGAGCTGGGTAGAGTTTGGGAGACTGGGGAGAGACTTGGGAGAGGTGGAGTGAGCTCATGGGTGTTCTGAAAGTGTCCCAGTGGAATGAAGGAAGGGCAGCCTTTCCTCTTATCCCTGAAGATAATGGAAAAAATTGATGTTTCTATCCAAAGGCCATCTGGTGCCTTTGGAGAATATCAGCTCTTTGTAACCATGAATCTGACTAATAGGAGTCATTTAACAGGTGAATTCCAATGCACTGGTTCATTCTGGCCATTTTGCTCAGTAGATTCACCCAGCGCATAAACCAGGGCTGCCATGTATGATTGGGCCCTACTGCATGGATGGCAATCCTGCAGTGTGTAAACTATATAACTATATGCAGCTGCCCTGAGTGTGACTGTCAAGTGCATGGAAATGTAGGTAGAGGTGTCACCAGGAGGTGTCATCCAAGGGAAGACATGCCAATTGTACTT